GCATGGCTGGCTGGAGAATTCTGGGAGTTGAAGTCCACTCCTCTTAAAGTGGCCAAGTTTGGACAACACTGATCTAATCCCATTCCTATGCCTATTACTTTCACTGCTTTCTGCAGCTGCCCACTCTCCATAATATTCTGAAGTGAGGGCTGTGATATTTGGACTTCAAAAAACTAGACAACCCATCAGTGTAAGCCTAAAGTCAGAATCCTCTATATCTCCTTGCTGCCATCTAGCATTGTCTGGATTTTTGTGGGCCGGGTATGGTAGCTTCTACTTGTATAAGCAGCAAACATGGAAGTCATTTCCCATGCCACCTTTCCCAAGGTGAAAGTCCTGCTGCTCCTGGCCAGGACAGGCCCTTGGAAAATGGGACATCTTGGAAGAAATCTCACCCCAAACTGGGACTGTCCTGCCAAAACTGGGGTATCAGCTCACCCTAGACTGTATTTGCAAAAAAATTGATTATAGGTGTATGTGTGTATGGGCGTTTATGTGTATATGCACGTGCATGCACACACATACACACACATATTATAAAAGAAAGACCTAGTCTCAGAAATTATGCTTAGCCACCATTCTTTTCTGCTTTCAGGAAAAGTCAAGACACTCCACTTTATTCACTTTTTCTTGTAAGCTATATTATTCAGGAGGGTCTCCAGAGTAAGGTAAAAAAAGTAAAGATGGTGGTCACAGAGGTATGATTGAAGTTCTGCCCATTTTGTATGTGCATTATAATAATTTTATCTGTTTTAGGGAATTCTAAGGGTTTCTATTTCTTTTAAATTAATAACTGTCAATTATATTTCATGACATACTTTTAACCGTTGGTAAGGTGCTTTCTCCCATGCTGAATAGTGTCTGATGGGATCACCACATTTCGTACATGCCCTTTTTCTGACTGCCGGATGACATTTCTTTCCAGAACTTTCTGCCTTTAGACTTTTGCTCATTTCCAAAATTTTGCTTTTTACTGTTTTAATTTCTGCCTTTACCATTCTTTCTGCCTCAAATGTTGTGATTGTAAGCACCATTGTACATGCAGCTGAAAAAGCACCATTCGCTCTCAAGAGGAAGATTTTAGCTAGGCTGGGGAACTTCCAGGTTTGCAGAAATACACCAATGTTTAACTTTTTTTTTTTTAAGTGACTGGAAATATCCCAAAATAATCCAATAAAAACTGAGGTGATTACTGAAATAAATAAAAACTGGGAATAAAAACTGGGGATGAACTGGGGGTGAAATGGAAGCAATACCAGGATGCCACAGTAAGAAATCATCCCCAGAAGGAGTGGGATAGTTCTAGGGCTTGCTAACAACCGTTCTAGATTTGAGTCACAAATATCTCATTAAGGAATCCAAGAAGTAGCCTCCACTCCTCTGCTTTTGCCGACTCATCTCATCAAGATTTAGTAGCGGCTAAACCAGTGTTTTTCAACCTTGGCAACTATAAGATATGTGGATTTTAACTCCCAGAATGCTGGCTGGGGAATTCTGGGAGTTGAAGTCCACACATCTTAAAGTTGCCAAGGTTAAAAAAAACACTGAGCTAAACAGTACGAGAGCTAGTAAGGAACTCCACTTACTATGGCGTTTCTTTGTATCTGCTTTGTTGTCTTCTTTTGTTACACCCAGACAACCCATTAGTTCTGGAACTGTCAAAGATTTGTCATTATTCACGTCACAATATTCCACAAACTTTTTCACACATTTTTTGGGCTTGGATTTTTTCCTCAGGAATTTCTTAAAAGGCTTGATTTCTTTTTTGCCGATGTCACCGCTAGCATTTTTATCCAGTTGTTTAAAATACCAATGAACAACTCTTTCCTCCAGTGTATGGTTTGGATCTGGTTCTGAAAGCCTACAAAAGAAGGAGTTCATTAACTGGTTGAGTGATGAAAAGTGAAGAGTAGCATTTTGGAAAGTAGAATTTAGGAAAAAACTAAATTTGATTTATTTGATTCAATTTATATTTAAATTCAATTCAATTAATATTACTGTGTGTATATGTGCGTGCACGCATGGCTTCAGGTTAGTGTTGACTCCTGGTGACTGCCTGGACAAGTCCCTGCAGTTTTCTTGGCAAGGTTTTTCGGAAGTGGTTTACCTTTGCCTGCTCCCTAGGGCTGAGAGTGGGTGACTGGTCCAAGGTCACCCAGCAGGCTTTGTGCCTAAGACGGGACTAGAACTCACGGTCTCCTGGTTTCTAGCCTGGTGCCCTAACCACTACCCTAAGGTAGTGTATTAATTAGTGTATTAATTAATTAATTAACATGACTGCTCATATTTTAAAAATTTCCCCTTTGGTCAATTAAAAACAACACTTTTGTAACAGCTTCTAGAGGCCTCTGGGTCTCGCCCAAGGCTTTGGGGAGAATGACCTGGAACCTCAATTCCTGCAGGTCTAGTTTAAGTATTTAAGAACTACGCTACAATTTCTCTTTGTCACCATCTCATGCCAGGAGGTAACGCACACTAGAATATGCACAACAATCCTGTATCGCTGCACATTGCATGAGAAGATCAATAAACTGTAGGAAAGCTTCTCTGCAATGAGATTGTCCACCATTTGTCTTCTCTCCCATAATCTCTTGAATGAATGGCACGAAGAAAAGATGGAAAATCTCAAGTTAATTCTTCAACATACTTTAAAAGGTTGTATTGTCTGCTTATATACCTACACTTCCCTCAGTTCCATTATAATTTTATTATTACACTCAGTAGGACTAGTTCTAGAGTAGACATGTGTAGGATTAAACATTCAATGTTATTAAAGCAAACAAGGTATCACATGCATCAGTGCAGCTAATTTCCATATTATAGGCATGTTCTGAAAAAAAATATTTTAGTTCTCTCTGCTTTTTAAATCACACTTGTCAGTCACTGTGACTTGTGTCTCAGTTCTGTTTCTTTAACTCTGAAACACAAATGTATTGTAATTAACTAGGCAGATTGTGGATTTTAAATTCCTTTGATTTCAAGAGATTTTCATTGGGAAATGAGGGTTTGAATTGGATTTAAATATGCCATTTTGTTGGATCATTACTGCTGAAATATTTCCTCTTCCCTCCCTCCCTTCTTAAATCAATTTTAATTTTTTAAATAGTGAAATACAAACTACACTAACAGAAAAACATACAGCAGTGGTTATACAATGAAAAAGGAACCTTCATGCATTAGTGTGATTAAAATAAACTAATAACAAAAATATTAAAAACCTAATAATTTTTTTTTAAAAGATTGTATATAATATAAATTTAGTATCAGTATGGAAATAGTTCAGTCTTTAAGCTTGCTATTAAATCTAGTCCAAATAGAAACATATTGCTTCATCGTCTCATTTTCTGAATATAATGACTTTTCAAAAACTCATATCCTGAATAATTTCCTCAATATCAGAGGGATGTTTCTTTCCATTTGCATAAGATTATCATAAAGCTTTGCAAAAAAAAATGACAAAATCCATATTTTAAGAATATAGTTTAACATCAAATTTACATCTTTAACTATTACAGCTTTCTGACAAAATATTTTAATATATGTTATGATTTAAAATCAAAACAAAGCTATGGCTGGACAAAGCCAATTAATATTCATTGTTAAAATTTATTGTTAACATTTCTAACAATGCCAGCACAAAAAAATCTGATATGCAATTTTTTAAAAATATTCTTTGAAGAGACCAATAGATACAAAATAATATTTTCTGGTGAATTGACTTCATTCTTAAATTATAAGACACATATTTTACATTTTTTAAAACCTGGACCCGCTGATTTCCAAGACTGGATATTCCATTTCTTCATCCCACAGTTCATATATGTAACTAATGCTAACCTTTATTCTATTTTTTCATTCCTAATAAAATTGAATTGTCCATTTCACTTCAACCACTGCATGTATTTATGAGGCTGCTAAAGCATCTGGGCTGCACTGTTTTGTTGATCCATCCATCTTTGTCTCTTTCTTCCTCTTTCTCTCTCCACCATAACCTACTAGGATTCCCAGTGGTTTACAACAAAAAAATTCTAAAAACAGAAACTATTAAAACTGAAATAATACCACAAATCCAGATCTATAATACAAAGAATAGATGGCATTCCCTCACCTCTCCCTAAACTCAGTTTTTACCAACCTCCAGAAGGCCATCAAGATGGGCGCTAACTTAGCTCAAGAAGGGGGCTGTTTCAAAGTATAAGGGGCTGCAACAGAAATTCACATCCCTTCATGTAAAAGGATTTGAGTTTGGTTTTCTTCTAACCTTTCCTTTTTCAGCAACTTAAAGGGGAATTTTAAAATGTACTATTATTTGAAAGTTGGCAGGCAGCCAGTTAAATGCAGATTTAGTCTTATTTAAAACTTAAACTCATAATTAATTATGTCAGTGAGTCTGTTCTAAGCTGATAAACTCTGGATCTTACATAGGAATCCTGGCCAACCTTCTATAAAGCACACACAGATGTACTAGTAGACCCAAATTTGTCTTCTTACCCACCCCTCTTACAGAATAGAGTCTGGAATCTTTTATTTCCACAGTCTTATGGCGCAGACCCAGCTAAGAGTACTTCCTATTCAATCTGGTTGAAATTGAGTTAGTCACGAGTAGACTGAATCCCCTTGCTTTCAAAGCATTTTAGTTATAAGTAATTTTAATTAGGGCTGTGTTCTGCTATATTTTATTTTTTATTGCTGACATTTCTATGCCACTCTATTCCAAACAGTTCTGAGCAGCATACAACAGAATAAAAGCAACAGAAAAAAACAAAAATAATATAATCCATACAAGACCTGATTCTTTATATTCCTGTTTGCCACATCAAAAAGAAATAATATCCAATAAAGATTGCTTTATGTTTATATGGATTAGATTCTTACTATTACTTTATCTGTGATATATGAAATGTGTATTATAGGTACTAAAAACAAACAAAATAAATTGGAATGTTATTGTTTAAAATACAGCTCTTATTTTGTTATTGCAACAGTATTTTTCAGCCATCATATTGTGAAACCCATCTCAAATGGACTATCAGTGAATGTTCTAAAGACAGAGGCCCATAGTCAGCTATGGAATGCTGATAAACACCACAGATCCAGTGAGAGAAGTAAAAATATAATTTGCCTGACAGCAAAATCTTGCACAGGTTTTGTGAAAAGGAGGAAATGTCCACTCCTGATGGGAAAGAAGAACCCACCTGCTGGAAGACACTGCCGGATCAGAGACAGCATGCACCATATCTGTGGAGAGTGCATCCAGAACACTGGTCAGAAATTCATTCTTCTTGGCTCCAGGACAACCTAACATGGAAAAAGATTTCTGTCCTTTATTGTTTGCATTACTTTAGTTTGCTTTATTTGGGGGGGGGGGCTGCATCTGAGGTGGAAAATAGATATTGTGGGATATTTGCATTTTAGGATCGTTCAGAATCTGACCTTGGCTAAATCATCTAAGGTTCAGAGAATTTCTATAGAACAGAGCAGAAGTTCATAATTTTATATAGTGAAGCTGTTCAGGTTATCGAAGATATAATTCTGCCAAAGATAGTTTTTGTTGACTCTAAAGGAAATTTTATCCATTTTCTTACATTGGTATGTATGTTTTTGATGGTGACACCATAAAGAAATGTTTTGTGTAATCTTAGCCTAATTTCCATCAATTGGAGTCTTCATATTCTGTTTGCTCAGGACCTCCATCTGACCCTTTTTAATCCTAGAGAAGTTCACCCTTCAAATGCTTCAGGCTATAGATAGCATTTGGAGTTTCTCCCATCAACATTTTTTTATTTGTTGTTGATTGTCCAGTTAGCTTTTCCCTTCTCATCTCCATCCAGTTTTGGTTCCACCACCACCATTCCTTTCTCTTTCACCTTATCCCCACCTCCATCCTCTTCTTTATTTCCCTCTGGGTTTTTCTGCTAAAAGGAGAAAGGGTCTATGTTGAGGTACTTATGTGTTTCTGTGTGTGAGAGGACATTATATGTGAGAATGTGTGGTTGGAAGATGCATATGGAGAATCAGTTACTTTTATAAGAGAAACATCTTATTTCAGTATTTAATTAGAAGTCACTATTTCAATCAATATAAACTCATTTCTTCTCTTCTTCTGCCTTTTTTAGTGTGACTTTTAACTGGCATTTGCATACTTATAAATAGGTATAGACGTGTGTGTGTGTGTCTGTGTGTGTGTGTGTGTGTGTGTTAAGCAAATGTTTATTGGCTGGAAGAGAAATGTCCTAAACAGGCTTTAGCTGGAGTTGGTAACCCTGGATGAGGAAGGGAAGAAATACGGTACTAATTTTTATGTCTACTCTTGCTGTGCTGGGTATGTGTTTCTCTTAAATTCAAGCAAATGTAATATTTATTTGTGCAATTTTTATAATTATTAGGGTTCCCAAAAGTAGGAACAATTAGAAAATAATTTACAATTAATTATTTCACTAATAATAAAATCTCTCTGTAAACTTACATACTGAAAACAATACAACAGCTAAAGCCAACAAGTAACAAAATGAAACAGAAGGCACAGCAACACCGATTGAGTAAAAAGTTCACATGGCTTTGGGCAGATGCATGCATGCCCTTCTATCTTCAGGCTATTGCCAAAGGCAAAGTTCTATCATTATAAAGCATAAATATTTCAAGCTAATGTCTGACTGCTTGCCTTCAGGAATAAATTGCAGGATGTTGCCTATTTACTAAAGTATGTTTTGGCACCATTTAGGATAGGGCCAAAAAGATGCTAATTCTTTTGGTAAGAAGCAACATTGTGAAAAATCTGGTGGAGCACACTCCTCTACTGCCAAGGCTGTAGGACCTGAGAGATCCAACCAAGTGTGTGAGATGGGAGTGAGGGAATTAAAAAGATGGGTGCAAGCCGGGTGTGATCTGACATCTCATTTTTGAAACCAGGCCCATCTAGGAACTACAAATGGTTGGGTTACAGTGTGGTTTACGGGATAGCTCTCCAAATCTATCGCTATGATCTTTGAAGAGACGATATGTCTGACGCCAAATGTTCCCTCTCAACAATAGAAACTTGGCATTGCCAGGGGTGGGGTGAAGGTTTCCTGGCAAGTCATGTAGAGCCCTGCCAGTTCTGCCGAACTATCCAGAGACGGGATTGGAATGGAGCTGAAGCAGCACAAGTAACTGCTTGCCTCCCTGAACCTAATCCACAGCATTCCATTGCCAGACTCTCATTCATCTTTCTTGCAGTTCATGTCATAGATAACCTGTAAAATATAGTTCAGAGTTTTCTCAACTTTTGTGGTTTGACACTCAAGGCATATCTTGCTGATATCTGTTGCACCTCTTCTACCTACAGGGTTGCCAATCTTTCCCATAGAGACAGGATCTATTCAGGCTTCACAATCATTTACTGAAAATTGATGTACGTAATTAGGGAATTAACATTTTGTACTAGAGTGCTGCAATAAGTAAAACAAATTCCTAACCTATTTAAAGCTTATTATCCACACTTTTTATGTTCTTCTTACCCACATTTCTTATGATTCTGCACAGGGATCCAGATAGTCCCTTATGCCAGCCTGATCTGAGAGTTTGTAGTAAAATGCCAGTTATGCCCAGCCAGTTGTAGTCCAACATGCACAAGTTGGGTTAAGTTATCTTCTGGAGCTGGGAAAGTGACTGTTTAAGATACTTTATCAAAATCGGCAAATGAACTGGTAGGATTGGTATTCACAACTATCTCAGTATAGCTTAGCAAGTTATCAGTTGTTACCCAATTGTTCTAGCAGAAGAATATACCCAAAATATTTTTGTTAAACATGAGTGCCATGCTTTCCCAATCTCACTTTCAAAAAATTGGCAAATATATAATGTATCTATACCTGATCTTAGCCAAAAGGCTGGGTTTACATTTTGAGTAAATCTAATACTTTCTCCCCATTTGTGTTTTCTGAGCTGATAATACCTCTTTAATCCTATACCCGTGACTCTTGATATTTTTGCTGATACAAATGAAACTAGATTTTTCTATATCATAGCTGTGAATTTAAACCAGAAAATTCTAATTCCTAATCAAGTCACATCCAGATGTATTCAAGATATAAAATATGAGAGTGAGCCAGATGTTTCTGATGTTTGATTTACAGAGGTTTAGAAACTTTTGCCAATATTTTCTCTCCCCATCTATAGAACTTAAAAAAAAAAAAAAAACAGCAGAGGATTTCTTCTCCTTCTCCTTCTTCTTCCCCCTCTGTTTTGGAGTTTTTACTGGCTCTTATAGCCCACACAGCTTCTCCCAATTTGGAATATTAGCAATTATTTAAAAATGAGTCCTATAAAACTATTATAAGATGTGGCAGTGGAAAAAAGGTTTTATAATGAAAGTATACTTATTCTACTATCCAATTCCAGCCAAAGGAATCAAAGTTCACAGTACTTTTAGACAAGAAAATTCTTAATTTGTATAAACTGAAATTAGATTGCAAATTATTCTCAGCAATTCAGTTGGATCTGAAATATCTGTGGGAGCTGTGTTAGGGCTTCCTTGTCTTGAAGGTCCCTCCAATATACCAGGTCAGAGGATGGTTCAACTACCACTGAAGGAACTCCCATGGAAGCTGCATCAAGTGGCCTATGCCCACACTGTCCAGGGACAAAATTTTCCAAGCTGAGTGATTTCTTTTTGTTTTATTCAGATGTTGCATATTGGAATGACTCTTCTTTTTTTAAAAATGCTGGGCAAAATATGAAATGTATTTTGGCATTGTCAATTCACCAGTAAGAACAAACTGCCCTGAGGTAGTCTGTGAACAAACTAACTACATTTGGGATACATGAAATAAGTAACCTTTGGGAAGGAATAGTAATTTGAATCCCATGGGACTTCTTTGCTTGAGACTGAGGGCTGTTATTGATCTGATAAGCATCTGAGCACTGTCTAAACCATCACAGTATCTCTAATATTGTCAGAGCAAATGAACTGAAATCAGTTTTGGACTTTGCCCTCCTCTTTTTTTTTTGTTAAATGTGGCCCTCAGCCCAAAATAAGGTGTGCATTCTTGTTCTAGGATGGATATGCAGGTATCATGGCAATCTAAGAGAGAACACAGAGATACACACCATCTAGAGTTCTTTTTCTTTTTTCAATTGTGAAAAGAAAGCTCAAAAGCTGCCCCCCTCCAAAGCCCTAAAACCTGACCACTGCAGGGTACATTTTCTATTAAATGGTAAATGGAATAGGCCTAGGCTGATTATCTATGGGCCAAAATTATGTCACAGACCACTGACTGGTTGTGACTAAGGTTGTGCAGACCTGCTTCAGGAACAAAACACTATCACAAACTCCAGGTTCCATTTCTCCTCGAGGCCATGCTGACCAGGGTGGTCCAGCCGAGGTGAATAGTAATGTGGATACCACCATTATATTATGGATTACCTAATTCTATATCTACCAGATTGAGCCTTCATATTTTATTTTACTTGATAGAAAAAAAGCAAACATGTAGGAAAGCCTTATTGAAGAGAATAAACATAGTTTCTGCAAAGATAAGTATTGTCTCACTAATTTTCTACACCTTTCTGAGGGCACCAAAAATAGATTATATATATTTGGACTCTCAGAAAGCCTTTGACAAAGTCCTGCACCAAAGCTTGGGAGTAACCATTTTCCCATTAGCAGGAACATGACTCACCTTGGCACATGAACTAAGATAGTCTCTCCTGTTCAGCTGTCACAGTGATTTGGCAGTTTTCCATCTCTGGCTTCCTAAAAAAAGTGCCTCTGAATCTCCTTCATATAAACAGCAACCTCCCATGGAGGGCAAAAGAATCACTGAGCAAGTACATACAAAGATGAGGATGGGGAAGTGATGACTGAGTGCTATTCTTGGAGTTCTCTTATCAAATAGCTGGAAGGAAGGAAGGATCAGTTCCTGCTGTTCTTATTCAGTAGCAAAAAAAGATTATTATGGACTGGCTTCAAACCACTTTTGTCAGACTGGGGTATGGAAATGACGTTTGGAAGTATCCATAAAGAGATTGCAACACAGGCAAAGGGAAGTTTTAAATCAGGATCAGCCCTGTCATGATAGAATTGCTGGCATTCCGATATATACAAGCACTTACCTGTCCAAAAGTGCAGAAAGCATTTTCTGAATTGTCAGTTACAGCCCTGGAACCTTATCCAAGTAAGCACAGTATAGAATGTCCATGTTATGGTGTTAAAGAATGATAATGCATGATAAACATTACATTACATTGGCTCCTTTTCTCTGTTTCACAGTAAGAGTTATATTCAGTTTTGTTCCTTTAGCAGTTGTAGTTCAGTTTAT